AGGCCCAGCTGCACGTGCTTGAAGCCATGCCTCCGTTGGATGCTGATCCACAGCACGCATTGCATTCGACACACAGCAATCCATGATTCGTCACAACGGAAGCGCCGACGGGCAATTTCCACTGGGTGGGTAAGGGTAAACTGCCAGCAGTCGTCGAATTTATCCAGAAACCCACCTGAACTGGCTGTCTATCAACAGCGCTCCGCGATGTTCCGGGACTTGAACTCGTTGTTAAATCAATCGGCTGTTCTGGTGTGGCACTGCGAAACGGATCCTGGCCTCTTCCCGTCGTCTCCAATTGTGCACTACTAACATCTTCGCTTGTACTTGGTACAGCAGAAGGCTGCCAACCCCATGCCTGCTCCTCCTCGATACCTTCGCCGAAACCCGATAGCCAATCATCCGGTGAAGGACCGCCAGCCCCAAGGGGCGTTTCTGAGAACAAAGAGTCCGAAAACAGTAGCAAGGTGGTACATAGTCGAACTAAATCGTTCTACAGCAGAGAAATATTCAGAAATTTCTGGAAACATTTGGTTTGTTTGAGTATGCGGAGGTAGGCTCCGTGGGCCCGCAGATTTCCCCGTAAGGACCCCATGCTAACATTGCTGAATCGGCTGCAATCAGCTAAACTTCTTCGCATAACTCACCTTCGCTTTCGAGCGCAGCAAGACTAGTAGGGAAACCGGCAACTGCACGCTGGGACTCTGATAACAGTTCCGCCACAGTCATATGTTCCAACGCACCCAGCATGGGCGCCTTCGCCTCTCTATCCCCACTGGCATCATCCCTTGCCTTTCTCTTAACACCCCTCTGTTCTCCACCTGTGCCTAGCTGTGGTATCGCTGGAGCCGGAATCTGTGCGGTGGAAGCCGGATCGGTTGTTGGCGCCGACGGGGGCGTAGCCAACTCGGGTTGCTCGGGCTCGGCGGGAGAAGACGCATGTGAACCTGGATTCACTGTTGAGTAAGGATCTTCAGGTGTANCTGGGTTGCACGATTCTGGCTTGTCGTTTTTTTCGCCGTCCTCGCCGGCAGCCAGTTTGCGCCCGATTGACTGAGGGGATATTCTTCTTCTAATATACGTGCTGCAAATATAGGCAAAGAATGCGACAACTGAGATTGCAGCAAAGGCTGCTAGTAGTTGTAGTGCCTTCGCTTGCGGTGCGGTGGAGAATTTGTAAGCTGGGCGAGGGAGAGCATTTTGAAGGTTTCCATTGTGGTTCCCCTTCGTGAAGTCTAGATGCAGGTGGGAAGCAGCCTGATGCGGCGAAAGAGGTTCTTCTTTCAGCGACCAGGGATCCGCCATGGAGCCTGCTGTAGAGCTGTTCTAAAGAAAGTGTTTGCAAATGCTGGCCCACACCTGCAACGACAGTGATCGTTAGAATGTCTGGAACCTCAGACTGAAGGCAGTAAAATTCGTGCTCGTTAGGGACGGTCCGAGACCGAAAAGTATTAATTTGATGAAAACGAGTTTCCCCTCTTGCCTAGCGGAATCGCCCTCACGCCCCGGCGGCAAGTGGCATCGAACGTTTCAAATAGCGATCACGATGCTGTTGCGGCCAAACTTCCAATCAATGACGCCGAGGCAAGAAAACACAGTTATATTGGTTATTTAAGCTCGAAACGAATATGAAGAAGTCAAAGACTATACAGCACATGTTGTGCTGGCAATCGACGTTCCGTTAGCGCGTCTTGTCCTGGTGCTCCAGGTAGCGGGAACTTCTTATAAACCGCAAGGCACAAAGGCCACAAAGAATGGCATAAGGTGAAGACAATTTAGGATAAACAAAGAAAATCATTATTTGTACTTTCATGAAACTGGCGCCCCTGAAAGATTGGAGAATCGCCCCGGTACAGCGGAATGGATCTGCTGGTCTCTGTCGACCCACCTGAAGCCGCCGTGTTCGAAGCGCGCGGATATCTCTGGCTAATGCATCATATGCACCAAATAAAACGGCCAGTTAAAGAATTCCACAGTATGCGTGTAAAGTTTAACAAATTCAGAGTAAAGAAACGGCGTATTCTCTTCTCTTGACTCGGTGAAATACTGGTGCCCGCGGTCCTGGCTGTGCATCTCAATCTGCCGGAATGTGGCATATGTATTCCTACGTGCGGACACGCTGAAAACTAAGAGCAAAGCGAGTGCTTGACCATCACCTACAATTTTAGCAGGTAGACCAAAGTGTTAGTTAGCTACGCCTGCATTTGGGGCTGCCTTACAGCAGGAGTCGTAGAGAGTTCTCGTAATACGGGGGGTTCAATAAGACAGGAAAATACTGATATGGAGCTAAATACTTACACAATTATTGAAAGAAGAAACAATATATAGGTTCTCAAGATATATATATAACAACGTTATCTCTGTAGAAACCGCATAGCAAAAGGCAGGCTATACGTACTGACTGCTGGGTTGGTCAACGATTGGACTTCTTGGAATACTCGCGAGAGTACTCTCCGGTTCCAGCATGCTACTGTAGCTAGTTACCATCTGCGCCCTACTCGCTTGCTGTTCTCTCCTGATGTCCTCTCTAAAGGATTGCCGCGGACTGAATTACCTGCAACGGCGAACATAATATCTAATGTTCTAACTAATAATCGGCCTGGATTCTCTAACGAAACGAATAGATATCACGCATTGTAGTGCTCACGCACTACTGGCCTAGTACCATTGTAGCTTAGTCTGTTGGAAGCTCGTACAGGCAGTTCTACTTACGCGCAGGCTGCTTACAAATGGTAACTCGTGCTATAAGGGAACATTACATGCAAGAAAGTGTCCAACAACCATCTTCAGTGTCAATAGATGCAGCAAAGGAACTTTAAATGTGACTGCACGTGGCTTTGCTCTGCAGCACTAGTCGCACCAAGGCGCACTGCAAACTCATTTCAAGCCACAAACTCCCCCCGCCATCCCTCCCAGCCCCAGTCCCTTGGCTTGCCCAGCCCAATCCGCCTGGGGACGCTAGAGGAAGTTAGCTGCAATATGAAAACTCCAGTCACGAATGTTTTGGCTCTACTGCAGCTCATCATGTTCCTTGGATAAGACCTACTACCGTCGCTACACTTGGTATCATCACAGGTTTCATTGGGGTAGGTGCTAACAACGAACTCTACGCGTCAGAGCTGGGCGGCCTGGAGCATAGCAGTGATTAGGTGAAAACTCGTTGAAAAAAATTAAAGGCTGTGAAACGGTCTGTGCAACAAGAGTCGTCAACGTTGTTCAAGGACCTTGATGAGCTCTAGCTGAAGCAAAATAAGTAATGTAGGAAATTCCAGAAGGCAGCTGAGCTTCCGTCCAGTCTCCAGCCGAACTGGGCACAGCGACAATAAGGTCTACTGTCGGTGATAGATGAGGTAGCCTGGAATGTGCCTCAACGCACCTTGCTGTAACTAGTGCTGCAAGACAACCAAGCATGCAAGCACAATAATTGGCCCTACAATGGCCTGCTAAAGCAAACGCATGCATTGTTCGCGTAACTTCTGTGCGAAACAAGGCTGTGCCATATTGTTGACGGACTACACGACTCGTCTGATACCAAAAAGTATAGCCGTTTATGCTGTAGTGCCTACCCGTCTCCCGTTGTTAAGCTTAGCAAGAACGGTTGTTTCTCGGGGATATACAGAGGAAGAAGAAGAGACTTTGGGAAGAAAACTGGTATTGTCGCAGAGAAGCTCAGCTGCAGAACGTAACGCTTGACAGATAGGGATCTCGGAAGGCTGTATCCTCGGGCACGTTCGTCAGACCCTCGAGATAGTTGACCATGAAATCGTACTGCATAAGACGGCAAAGTAGCCAAACAACTCTTGCAGCAGTCTTGACAACGCTGCATCCAGTGAGCCAGTTGCGGTGCACGCTGCAGTTGCACCAAATGCTCCTGATCCATTCGTCCTGGAGGCTTATCCAACTATATAACCATTCAGCCCTCATTTATTGGCCCCGCAAAATAGGGATTGTTCTGTTGCTGCGGTTTATGGGGCGCATGCACTGACCCAAAAGGAATGCAGGTGAACTCTACCTTTCGAGCACAAGTATGGAGTGCAAACGTGTCTCTGTCGTCGTGGTGTATTGGTATATGGAGAAACGCCTCCATGAACACGCTTCTAAACGCAGCAACGGATCAGGTAGCTCACCCATACAGAGTATCGTAAATTACTTTTTCGCCGTGACTTTTTTGAGGGCTTTGAAGTCGGTGCGCATACTCAAGGCTCCGTCCTTTTTCTTCGGTAGGACAGCATTGTACCCAAAAGCGCTAGTTGAAGACTGCGCTTGCGCTTTTCTTAACAGTTTTTTCGCCTGCCGGTATAATTCCTCTTCAAGATGTGGATCTCCTTGGCACCTTGCAACAAAGCTGCGGGGTGCTCTCGGAGTGAGTCCATTGCGGCCCATTGCTCATGCAGCGGGCGACAGGCCCTCTGGAATCTGCTGGTTATTCACTACATCCAACAGCTTTTTCAGTTCCACTTCCGTCCAGTTGCGTCAATGTCTGCCGTTCCTTCGTTGTCGAATGGATCGGATGCCTTTAAAACGCCCTCTTCGTGGAACGATGATCACGGAGTGCATGCGCTTCTCCGTTGTTTCCGGGCTCTCCTCTGCGCTGCTTTAAAGCCTCATCGCTCCCTTCTCCTTGAGACAGTGATTACACTCCTTTATTGTTAAACATGCAAGTGTTATTAAGAGCGTTGGGAAGTGCACTTTCCAATTGCTTTCCTTCACATAGACCCCAATTTTCTCGTCTGGTGGCCCCATGCGCTCCCTCGCCTGGGTCGACCACAGCAAGTCTAAGCTTATGTCACAGTGAACAGGTCCACTACTGAAGTGACCTTGCAGTTTATGCCCAAGTTTTTGTTTATTATCGTGGCTTCTCTGCCATCCGGGAAGCGCGCTCGCAGAGGCTGTGCAACGAGTGGACAGACGAATTGCTCCAGCCCACCGTAGGTTCAGATATCAGATCCACTTCGCAGCACGCAAGGATAGCATATCCTTGCCATACATACAGGCTTGGGCAAGCACAGAGCTGAGTTGAGGAGGGTCTGCAGGCTCCAATGCAGCTGTTTTGGCTGAATCACTGCATCTCACTTTGCTTAGGGGCACAGGCAGTCCGCTGATCACTGCGTTTGCTACCCGTGCGGTGCTGCTGAAAGTCTTGCTTCTCCAGTACTTAGCGCTTTTGGCGGCCCTGCGGCATCGAATCATGTGACATTGTTTATTGCATCAGAAGAAAGAGCGACCCCTCGCACCTGCATCAGTTCCCGATTCGCCGACTGCTTCATGTTCGCACAGGCTATGTATCTGGGTCATCTCTAAATCCGGCTTCTTTTCAAACTAGCCCGATGGAAGTAGCGTATTCCTCTCTTTGATTCGTTGGTGCCCGATCACCTCGAGATACTCCAGCCTTTCAACCTCAGGCTTCATCTCCGCTGTCAGGTGGTGGATGCGCCTCTCCAGCGTTTCACAAGGGAATGGCAGAGCTATACTTAGTAATCTAGAGGATCCGAATCCACTGCAGGACTTGTGTACACAAAATACTGATGCTTTCAGATGTGGCACTCCATCCACATTTTCTTTCCTTTTGCAGCGTTTTCATACTTCTGCCAGTGTTACTTCCCTTGCCAACGTGGAAATGAATTTACGTCGCAGTGCCTACCTAACATCATCCGCCATCCGGATGTGTTTGAAAAGGTAAACCGTTTCTTAGGTATATGTACCACTGTCGTTCATCTCCTTCTAATAAAGAGATGCCAGGCTGCATTTAGAAGACAAAAAAACACTTTCAGAAGACCAAGGAACTCCTCCATTGTCTCAGCGCAGCCGAATCCGTCATAGCTGGACGCAAGAAGTCTTCATGGTTTGCTTTCGCGGTGAAGAGACTTCTTGATAGGCGGGATGTAGATGTTGCGGCTGCTCCAAGGAGCCCAGCTGCTGGTGCCTTCTCCGCTGTAGGGCCACTCTTGATCAATCTCCGAGGGAGAAAAGGGCTCACTTTCGGCAAATATTGTGGGGGAAGATAATTTTTCCTCGAAAGGAGGGCCTTCACCACTAATCAATGCTATTTACAGCGTTGCTACGCAGCGTTGCTATGCCGTAAGCACGATGTATGAAGCGTGTAGCTGCCTATGCTAATCAGGCGGTGCTATCAACGGCAGCAACTGTCACCGACCGCCGCATAGGAAAGACACAAGTTGCAATCGAGCCCACATACTTAGATTGAAAATCCCTGAGAAAGCAAATATATTTCACCCCCAGGCTTCATGCTGCCTGACTATAGGGGCCCAAGTGTCTGGGGTTGGTGCAGAGGTGCCTAGCGCTGC